GTAGCTCGCTAGAAGATTTTTAAAGAACATTATCATTGTTGTGGGGTGATAGTAGTTGATTATTCTCTGTTTATCACATAATGTCGTTTGTATATGGTCGTTTAAGCAAGTTGTGTCCCATCCGTTCATTCCCCCCCCCCCCATTAGATTATGAGCTCCTCAAGGGCAGAGGCCAGCTTTTGCCTTTGTGTCCCCAGCACTTAGCACAGTAGCTGGCACATAGTAGGCTCTTTAAAAAAATGTTGCTGGACTGTGAGTAGTTTCTTTGGGGTATTTAGACCTGTTGAATTTCATAAAGTTTTGTAGGTTTTCTAGTTCAGAACAATTTATTCCATATTGATAAAGTATGTCTTTGTACATAGAGATAAATAGACAGACAGATAGAAAGATTTTCTGCTGACTTCCCTAGAACTCTCATGAAACAGTGTAAAATTTTCTTTTCCCTCTTCTCTCACATCTCCACTGCATTCTTTTATCTCCCTTGTTATTTTATGGTTTCAGAATGTTCTGAGGAGAAATTAAATTCCGGGGTTAATTTAGAAGGCGAGAGCACCTAAGCTCGTTGACTTTGGCCTGAACCATCCTGTGTCTGTTGCTTGTATCTGTCTTCTTAGAGATTGGCCCAAGGATCCGAACTACCACTAGATAACTTTTCCATTTGACTGTTGAGGCAGTGAGACTTCCCCGCTGATGTCACCCTCACTTGCTAAGGCTGTATACATCCTCAGGGAATGATCCTGAGCATAGTGGAGCATTTCACCCTTCATCACATTTCCTAGACTAAGTGAATTTGTGTATTGAAAGGGCACTCAATGGTTCAGGTGCCTGGCCTGCCCTCCCACTGCAGCACTCTAGTGGTATATTGCCCTGGTCTTTCCTTTTGTTTTCCTAGATCTTGGAGGATTAATTGAGTTCAGAGGATCACAGACCTAGAATTGGAAGGGACTTTAGCAGCTGTCTGATCCAACCTGCATATTTTATAAATGAAGACATTGAGGCCCAGACACATCAAGTGAGATGTCCAAAATCACAGGGCAGTAAGTGGCAGTTAGCACCTTATTTGAATGGAGGTCCTCTGACTCCAGTTTCAGGGCTCTTTCCCCTGTACCACACTGCATTCTAGTGAAATAACTGGGAATCCCATACAGAACTACAAAATCTGCTAATGCACAACATCAGGTGTAGGGTAAAACATGTGCTGCTTTTTTTTTTTAAACATTTGTTTTAAAAATTTGAGTTTAGGGGCAGCTAGGTGGCAGAATGGATAGCCTTGGAATCAAGAGGAGCTGAGTTCAAATCTGGCCTCAGACACATGACACTTACTAGCTGTGTGATCCCAGGCAAGTCACTTAACCCCAAATGCCTCACCAAAAAGCCAAAAAAAAAAAATTGAGTTTCTCTCTCTCTCCTATCCCCCTTCCTTGAGAAGGCAAGCAGTTTTATATAGATTATATATGTGCAGTCATGCAGAACATTTCCATATTAGTCATGTTGCAAAAAAAAAAAAAAGGAGATCAAAAAACTCCAAGAAAAATAAAGTTAAAAAAAAAGTATGCTTTGATCTGCTCCCAGATTTCATTAGTTCTTTCTCTGGAGATGGACAACATTTTTCATCATTTGTCCTTTGGAATTGTCTTGGATTGTTGTACTGCTGAGAATAGCTAAGTCATTCACAGTTGATCATCATACAGTACTGCTGTTACAGTGTACAGTATTCTGGTTCTGCTAATTTCACTTTGCATGTAAGCCTTTCCGGGTTTTTCTGAAACCATCCTGCTTATCATTTCTTATAGCATAATAGTATTCCATAACAATCATATACCACAACTTGTTCAGCCCTTCCCAATTACTGGGCATCCCCACAGTTTCCAATTTTTTGCCGCTACAAAAAGAGCTGCTATAAATATTTTTGTACAAATAGATCCTTTTCCTTTGATCTCTTTGGGATACAGACCTAGTAGTGGTATTGCTGGGCCAAAGAGTATGCATGGTTTTATAGCCCTTTGGGTCTAGTTCCAAATTGCTTTCCAGAATGGTTGGATCAGTTCAGATCTACACCAGTGTATTAGTGTCCTAATTTTTCCACATCTTCAACGTGTGTCATTTTCCTCTTCTGTTATTTTATCCCGTCTGAGAGTTATTCAGAGTTATTTTAATTTGCATTTCTCTAATCAGTAGTAATTTAGAGCATTTTTTCATAAGGCGTATGCTTGTTAACATGGGATGATTCCTGTTTGTAAATGTAGTTAAGTTACTTTTATCCCCCAACCATCCCATCTCAGAAAAGGGAGTATCTCATCTGCAGGTGATGGGTATGGTTTCACAAGCAAGGTCTTCAAGTAACATAAGAATTAAATCTGAAAGGACCCTTGTTGTTGTTGTTGTTCAGTTGTTTTTAGTCATGTCCAACTCTTTGTGACCCCATTTGGGGTTTTCTTGCCAAAGGTACTAGAGTGGTTTGCCATTTCCTTCTTCAACCCATTTTACAGGTGAGGAAAACTGAGGCAAACAGGATGAAGTTACTTGCCCAGGGTCATACAGCTAGTTAGTGTCTGAGGACAGATTTGAAGTCAAGAAGATGAGTTTTCCTGACTCTAGGCCTGGTACTCTTATCTACTGTGCTGTCCAGCTGCCCCAAAAGGACCCTAATACAGCCCTCTCATGTTACGCATAAAGAAACTGAAGTACAAATAGTCAGTGGATATTTATTAAGCGTTTACTGTATGTCAGGCAGTGTGTTGAGCCGTGGTGATACAAAGAGAGTCAGAAGTCAAGCCCATCTCCAGAGGAAACAACCACCAGGATGATAAGAGGATGAATTGGAAACAATCAACAGATGTAAGGCACTAGCTTTAAAAGGGACCGGAAAAGACTTCTTAAAGAAGGTGGGATTTATAGTCTGAGCTCTGAAGGAAGCCTGGGAAGCCAGGAGAGAGGGGAGGGGGGAGCGAATATTGTCTAAGGACCCACTAGCCTAGTGTAGAGATAGGAGGAGGGGCTTCTCTTGTGTGTTCAAGGTCACACTGAAAATAAGTTGGATCAGAGTTAAGATCTGAACCCAGGGTTACAGGCTCTAAATCTGGTGTTCTTTCCACTAAAATAGCCTGTACTTGTGTTTAAAGAAATCAACTGTTTATGTGTGTGTGTGTGTGTTGTTCATGTGGTTTAGATAATAGTTCACATGAAAGAAGATCTGAGGATTTTAGCGTATGACTCACCAGTGTGGCATACTGTGGCCCCAAAAAGTCACATTAGGTAGAGCATCTTGTTCTGGTCCCCTTACTCACCCTAGAGAAATAAGGAAGCAGTACAAGCCCTCCATGTATATACTTAACATGTATACACACGTAATCGTCTCATGCTTGCTGCTGTATGAGTGAAGGGGATCATATCATTCAGTTATTAATTTCCTCTAAATCCAAGTTCTTCACCCTATTTGTCCTCAGAATAATGTTTTTAAATGCATGAAATACATAGGATTACAAAGAAAACCTTAATTAGAATAAAGCTGTGCCTTTTTTTTTTTTATTTCACAGATATCAGGTAAAGAAACCTCCTCTGGGTGGAAGTTACTGGGGAACATTCTATATTGGAGGGAGCCTTCTCCCTGGCCCTGTTCAGTGAGCAGGATTTAGATGAATGTAAGGAAGGAGAGAAAAGCTCAGGCAAGATGAGTGTTGTGACTAAGATGGAAGAGTTCCACATCAGGAAATCACGGGGATTCAGCAGCTCTAGCCTGTGATCTTGGTCATTTCTAAACTTTTGTTAACCAAGGAAGAGAGGCTTAAAGCCGTGTAGACAGAGCCATGGTTTGGGGCTCAGGAAGGCCTGGGGCTGGATCCTCCCTCAGAAGCTTAACAGTTCTGTGTCCCTGAGCAAGTCAGCTAGCTTCTCCCAGCTTCAGTTTCTTCAGATGAGAACCAAATGAGATGAATATATGTGGAGCTTTCCAATCACTACATGTATTAGCAACAACAATAATAATGCTAATTATCATTATGATTATTAGCCATTAAGAAGAGAGTGGATACATTCATGTCACTTTCTATCATCCCTGCTTGGGAACCAATGAAAAACTTTTTAATGAGAGAGGCAGATGATGGGGCTGGATACACATCCCAGTCAATCATCTTATTTGCAAAGTTGTCGCTATTCACAGATGTATTGTTTAAACATCTTTCTATAACCCAAGCTCTGGCCTATCACAGAGTACATGTTTCACATATATAAACTGTCTATGGCTTCGTGTAGGGTGTACGTTTAGGGTTTTTTTGGATTTGAAATACAGAGAACTGATTTTTATCTTTTTTTTTTTTAAACAAACTCTGTCAAGCTACGCTACCACACCAGGGTGGCACCAGACACTCTCTTGATACCAAAATCAAGCCCTGTCTGGATGTGCTCTGAATCATCTCCTTAGGCTTCCTCATCTTCAGAGAGTTTGTAGGCCTGTGAGTGCTCTGGAGGGCGAAAAAGGGGAGCAGGTCAACGGAGCGCATGGACAGTGAGGTGGACAGAGCCCTGCCAACAGTGCGCAGGTACATTAGAAACAGCTGCCACACCCGTGCCCAGCGTGAGCCACCTAATTAGTGTGTTCACGCCACTCTGATTAACCTAGGAAATGCAGCCATGTTGAAGACCCTTCTGATGGATGGGAGTCTCCCATCTTGCCATTTTTCAAACTTATAGTCTCAGGAAGAAACGCATTAGTGTAGGAGGTTTTGTGCAAGAGGCGAGGCTTCTGAGTTGTGTGGATTGTTATCGCCTTGCACGACCCTTCACAACTTCCTCTCCTGCCGCCCACAGCCAAATACGGAAACTCTGTTCTGTCAGGCCACTTCTGCAATTGTGGGTGTTCACAACTCCCAGACCTCTCCTTATAACACTAGACCCCCATGGCTTCGGAGTGAAAGACAAAGCCCGTGTTGAATTTTAAAATGGGCCTTTCGTGGTGCTCCGTCCCACTGACCCTGTGTCTCCCTGTTCTCTCCCTTGCGCAGTGCTCCAGTTGAAGCTTCAGCAAAGACGGACCCGGGAGGAGCTGGTGAGCCAAGGGATCATGCCGCGTAAGTACTCGTTCCTTCAGGCCCATCCCTGCCCTCCTCTCTGAGCAGTAGAACCAGCTGCCTTTGGGGGCAGTGCCCAGTGGGGTAGCAGAGGAAATGTTTGGCACAAAATAGAAAACCCAACCAAGTGTTGTTTCCTTCCCCCCCTGTTTTGGAAGTAACTCTTCTGGCCAGCAAGATTCAATGAAATGCCTTTGATTAATTTGAAAGTGGAAGGCAGTGAGGGAGGGCAGGGAGGACTGTGAATCATCTTTTGATTCCATGATGTATGCTCCAAAGAATGTGCTCTGTTTGATGTGTACCTTCATGGGCAGGGCGGGGTTGGTGATCAATCTTTGTGCGGGTTTCCTGCCTTTATGGTTTTCTCCTGTGAGTTCTGTCAACTTCACCATAATTCTTGAACTTGAGTGTAGTGGGTGAGGGCCCATAAGTTTTCTGCGTTGCTGTTTGAGTTGGAGAAAACTCCCTGGAGTTTCCTTCTCTCCCCTCCAAGTCCTAGCCTTGTTTTCTGAATTGCTGAAACAATCCTTCTTGGAAGAAAGGTTTTGACTTTGACTTCAGAGCGAGCCAGTGACAAGTATTGTGATGGGGCTGTGAGCTTGGGCTCCCTCAGAATGTGTGCACACCCATTGGTGGGGTCGATGGACAGTAGAGGAGCCAGCTCCAAGCACTAATGTGGCAGACGGTAAAGAGGGCAAGATGCATGTTGGGAGGCTTCTGACACTGCCCAGCAGCCTGGCTGTGGAGCGGCCACTTCGTCTCTCTTGACCTCAGCTTCCTGTGTTGCATAAAAGTGATGCTAAGGTTGCTGCCTGCCTCCCCTCACCAGGTTATTGGGAGGAAATCATTGTAGTGATGCTAAGTGCTGTTATTGTCAATATACTGAGGGGGTCATACATTTAGTGGAGATGGAAGCGAGCGGAACTTTTGTTGTTTCTAATGACAGTTCTTCTTCAGTCCCTAGCAAATGACATGTTCTCATATCTTCAGCCCTTCTCTGAAAAGCCACCTATTACACCCTCATAATTTCAGAGAAATAGTTTAAGGGAAACTTCCGAAAGTCTTTCTAATTGACAGAGAGGAAATCAGAGTTGTCCACGTTCATAACTCAAAGTACATTGGTGACATGTTCCCTGCCATGTTTTCTGGGCCCCCAGGATGAATCCATTACTTATTCAGGAGGTAGGATTCTAGCAACACCTGGAAAATTCTGGGAGTCATGTCGAAGTTAGATCTTTTTCATGGTCTATCATTACGCTGATACTGCACTGTTCACTCTTCTGCTGTGTTCTTCCCTGTCTTGTTTTGTGCCTTTCCAGTGTAGAATCGGTTTTACAGTTTCCCTGCTTTAACTGTGTGGTTTGGCAAGTGTATCTCCCAGTGTGAATGGAATGAGAGTGAGTGGTTGGAGTCCATGTCACTTAGGGAATAACTTGTTTATAAAACATTTGTCTTGCAGCAGCCACCCAGAATAGGTTGTGCAGATATTTTTATCCTCATTTTATAGACTCATAGTACCAAGAGCTGGAAGAGAGCCTTGGATATCATTTAGTGCCTGACCCTTCACTTTACAGATGAGGAAACTGAGGCCTAGAAAGGGACACAGAATGAGGTGTCAAGGCTCTTCTCCTGTGACTCCCAAGTCAAGAGCTTTATTTGCTGTAGGGCATAGCCTGCCATCAGTGCTCTGTCTTAGACATTGTCCTGTTAGTGGCCTAAGCCACCCGAAGGAGCAGTGAAGTAGCTCTATGGTCAGGCAGGGGAAAGGCCAGGCCTCACAAAATGATCTCCTGATTGATCTGGGCACGCAGACACATTACCAGCTTTTCATCAAAGAAATTGGTGATATGTGTGTTTCAGTAAGTGCTTCCTGAGTATCTAGCGCTTCAGAGGTGCTTTGAGTAATATTGAAGAAAAAGGGCGGAGCCGCAGTCAAGGAAATCAGACTCTAGTTGGGGGGCTAATCCTGACCCAGACAAAACAGCTGGAGACAGTTCAGTGCTGGGTGTGGGGTGGAACCTGTCTCCTGGTCTCTGCCTTCCTTCCGCTTGTACATCCTACTTCCCAAAGGACAGGTCATTGGTGGGTAGGTGCCTTGAAGGACAAGGTGGTGATTCTTTTCATGTTTGCAGGGCAGCATTAGAGGACCAGATTGGGAATCTCTTGGGACACCTGCAGGTTTGGACTTCTTTCTCTTGCCTGTGTGCCACCCAACGTTAGAGTCATAAGAGGGTGTGTTAGACGTTATCTAGTCCAGCTCTTCCTTTTTCTGTTTTTCTTTTTTCTTTTTCTGTTTTTGGTGGGGGTGAGGCAGATTAAGAAACTGAGACTCAAAGAAGTTGTCACCTAAGGTCACACAGTCAGTTAACATTTTATTCAGTGCCTACTGTGTGCCGGGCACTCTGCTTGACCCCAAGGATGCCAAAAACAAAACAAAACCAGTCTCTGCCCTCAAGGAGCTTGCACAATTCTGTTGGTAGAAATAGTGTGTGTAGACAGAAGAAATCCTAGGTGCAGGGAGGGAAGGGGGGCATGAGCAGTCTCAAGGATCAAGACAATCTTCACACTGAAGGTCCCCTTTGAACTGAGTCTAAAAGGAAGCAGAGGGGAAGAGGGAATGCATGGTGTGTATGGACAGCCAGGGCAAAGATGAAGAGATGGGAAATGTAGAGTGTGTGTGAGGAGGAGAATTAAGGGCAGTTTTACTGGAACCTAAAGCTTGGAAGTGGGATAATGGATTCTAAGAAAGGAAAGGTAGGTTGGGGCCAAGTGGTGAAGGGCTTTAAAGGCCAAACAGAGGCAGTGGTGACCTCCTGGAGTTTAGTGAGCTGTGGTCAGACTCGTGCTGAAGAAAAATCATTGAGGCAGCTGAGGGAGGCAAGATTGGAGCCAGCAGAGCCTTGAGGCAGGTGGACCCCCAACCCTCCACAGAAGGCTGGTGGGCAGTGGTCTAGGTGAGCGGGCCTGCACCAGGATGGTGGAGAGGAGAGAGGCCAAGATGAAAGCAAAATGTGGGACATTGGAGAGTGGAATCCAAAATAATGCTGAGCTTACAAACCTTGGAGACAAGAAGGCTGGTGCCTTTGAGAGAAATGGAAAAGTTTAGAAGTGGATTGGATGCTGGAGAGAATTTTGTGAACGAAGTCGCAGAAGCCTCCTTTCCGAGAAGGGTTTGGCAGCTGAAATAGGCCACAGTGCCTGGTTCTTCCTGTCTCTGTCCTAATGACGCCCATCATTTAAGACATCTGGCCTGTCGTGCAGAAGGTGGTGTCTGCCCTGGACTGTTCAACAGGATCACTTCCCAATCTCCTTTGTTCTCAACATGTAAACATAGGTTTCAAATTTAATACCATGCAACTAAACTCTGCACTTGTGCAGACAATGCCAGACAGCACAGGATTCTATGTTCCAGCCCCTATGCTTTCACCCTGGGTTTCTGAGGCTCAGTGGACCTTGAAGGAGCTACGTGGGAGAAGGGGGAAATGACCGAGTTAGAAGCCAGTCTTGAAGTCAGAAAGCTGAGGCGAGACGTATTCCGTGTGCTCCAGACAGAGATTCAGTGTTGTGTTCGGTAAAGAGATGAGCTGTGTGTGGAATGTCTTGTTCTTAAACAGTGCTTTCCCTTTGCCTTTTATACTTGACATTTAAAGGTGTAAAAGGTGAGGAGGTTAAGGTGAATTCTAAGAGAAATGTTCTGGCAGTGAGATGCTGCAGAGGAATGACCTTTTAAAGGAATCATGGAAGTTCTATTACTTGGCACAAACCAGAAAAACCTATAATCTCTCCTGGATAGAAAAGAGGAGTGCTGTTGGTTTCTTCCTTTTCAGACTAATACTGTTAAGTTTATAGGATCATTGAGAAAGAGACAGCAGTGTTCCAGTCTATACCTAACATGCTGGTATTTTCTATTTCCTCCTCTCCCTCCCCCCCTCCACACCCCCGCGAGTTTTTTTCCACATACACATACAGTGTTTCTCTGTATCTTTGGCGTTGTCAGAATGTGTTCTTCCACTTCCTCCTCTAGTATAGATCGCAGCCCATTCATGCCTTCTCATCCTGCACCGTTTTTCATAGGATCTAATTTGAAAGACACCTTGGAGTACATATTGTCTAACCTGTACCTGAACAAGGGAGCTTTCAATAGCGTACCCCAAAAATAGTTATCCAACCTTTTCTGAAACTACTCCTTGAGGGAGAAGCCACTACTTCCCAAGGCAGCCCATTATATTTTGGGATACTGCCAATTCTTAAATTAATTAGCCCTTCATTTGCTGTTTTCAAACTTCTAACCAAAGCTACTGCTTCTGTCCTCTGGGGCCAGGAAGATCAAGTCGAATCCCTTTTTTGTAGATGACTTGCAGGCAGGAAGCCACCATGTCACCCCCAGATCTTCTCTTCTCCAGGCCCAGTGTGCTGTGCTTCTCCTACCAGCCCTTCTGTGGCATGATCTTGAAGCCCTTCACCATCCTGATTGTCCTCTTTCTGGCCAGTCTTCAACTTCTCAGTTGCCTTCCTAAAACGTAACATCCAGAATGAACACAGTGTTCTCTATATGGTTTGACCAAGACAAGGAACAGCAGGATTTGTACCTTCTTAGTCCTAGACACTGTACTCTCAGTGGAGCCTAAGGTTGTGTGTACGTTCTTGGCTGTCATATCACACCGTTGAGTTAGATGGAGTGTGTAGTCTACCAGACTCTCTGTAGGAGTCTTTCAAATGGTGGTTGTCTTACCCACTCCTCTGCCATTTTGGATTTCTGAAGTATGAGATTGATTTCTTTCTACTGCACTTTAAAACTTTACATTTATCCCTGACAAATGCTGTCTTCATAGATTCAGCCCATTTTTGGTGTCTCTTGCAAATGTGATAAACACTATGAGAAGAGTGTTAATACAAGTACGGCTCCCACTACCGCTTCCAAGTCCTCTTTCACTGATGTCTTCGGAGTTGACATTGGGTCAGTGTTTTGAGTGTGATCCTTCAGCTAATTCTAAGTTCAC